ACGTCAGACGTAAATGATTAATCACAGAAAAAATAATTTCCATAGTACCGACCTAACCTATTCCTATTGTACCGACCAACCAAATGACACCATCTTTTGGTCGGTCCATATTTCCCAATGAACGGCTGAATGATTCATACAAGCATGCATATTAGCCTACTAATGTATCCATTCATTTCTCCCTCATCAACCTCCATCAATATTCCCTCCCTGACTTTATCCTTCTATCCCAAAAGTACTACCAGCGCCGATTTCGAGTGTACAGAGTGTACAGAAATTATATTTCTGGGGCTGCTGTACATCAAATTCCAATGTTAAGAATGTTCTTCTTCGCTCTGTCCTATGAAGGAACTTGACCACCACTTCAAACACCTTGAGCCCACCGACAGCGTGCTGACCGAATAACAGTAAGGGACCGAATAACAGTAAGGACGATGACAGTTTGGTCGATGAAGAAGTTTGTTTTGAACGAAGGACATTTCAATTACAAACGAATATTTTATTGATATTTATTATTATTATTATTATTGTTTTTGTTGTTGTACGCAGTTATTTTGTATTGTTTTATGTTTGCTATAGATCCTTACAGCTCTTTGTACGGCTGCATTTTTTATTTATTTTTTGCTCTGTTTCATTTTTTTAATTAAGTGCATTTTTTGACCCTGTTTGAAATAAGCAAACTATGGAAAAGCACATTTGTAAAAGTAAACTTCAGCTGGAAGAAGCGTATACAACACGATTCATCGAACACATGCACGCACACACACACACGCATGCACGCACGCACGCACGCACACGGCTATGTATCCCTGTAACCGTGGGGCATTTGTGATGTTCAGTATTATGAAAAATGACTTGCTCCCATGGCACACCGGGGTGGCAGTGATTATAATATCCAGATAATCATTTCAAACAAATTATCATAATTATCAATCAATCATGAGCCAATTTCAGCGGGAGGTTAGAGGTTCGAGGTAGAGTTGGCAAGGAGGTAAACTATGGCCTGAAGCCATGGATCGCTTTTGTGACCCGTGAGCCTCACTCTGTCCGCATAATAGCTCTTGTACATTCAGGGTCATTTAGCGACCCTATTTAGAAACTCCTTTATACAGCTTGATATGGGGAAAAAAAAAGAGTTAAGAGAATCATACTCAAGCGTATGCACATGCACACCCACAGCTGCAGCCGACCCCCTTTGGCTGTAATGTCTTTCAACACAGAGTGGGGAAAATCTTCTCTAAGGTCAGAGTTCATTTCAACTCCTGTCAGGGTCCCATTTAGGAGCCATGACATATTAAAAACATGTTTAATACATCTTTCTGATGTGGAAATGGCCAATAATAACAACGTTATATACATATAGATATCAGTCAGAACAATCCATTATTTACTTCCTGGAGAGCATCACGGTATGAACAAGTTGCCAAGTGAGATAGAGTAGCAGAAATCCTCATGACATCGTTGGCTTTTGCGGTTAACCTTCCGCGAAAAGCAACATGAACCGATTGAATCTGAGGACCGAATGAACGGAACTCGCGGACAGAAAGCAAGAAAGGAGGTGAGAGAAAGATAGTGGCCTTCGGGGTAGATGATCGCCTTGGGAAAAAAGCAATCAGTGCTCATTGATTTTCTTTGCCGGCTGAATGGAGGGTGTCTATCTGGAAGTCATTATCTGCCATCTGATCTGCGCCAGTGTTTACACACATCAGGGCGGACAGCAGCGCTCTTCTGAAGATGAGGATTAGTACAAAGACACACACACGCACACACACACAAAGCATCGACTGTCTTCATCACCGCCCCCATCTTTATATCACCTTTAAATCCAGGGACTCTGAAAGAGAAACAGCCGTACTCTGACACCCTATTAACTTCCACAGACGGTCGGGTGTGTGTGTGTGTGTGTGTGTGCAAAAGAGAATACATGTAAGCAGGGCCTAGACAGCTAAACAGACGGATCGTCGGGTTTTGTGTGGTCGGCCCAAACCAAATCAAACAATCCCTGATACTTTCCCCGATGGCCTCCGATAGCCATCTATAGCTCGAACAACACCGTCCGTCCCGTCTACAAAGCTAGCCAGAGAGCCAAGGAATGAGCGGCGGATGAATGCTGGGAGTCGAGAGGGGATTCAGATAGCGGATCTATTTATTTTCTGTCTGCGTCCAGACGGGAGGAGGATGCACGTTTTTCTCACGTGCCCTCTCAATAGGGATCGATTTGCCTTGAATGGCAGTTGAGGACAAGGCACGACTTCAGATGGCAAGACTTGAAATCTCTTTCACACAAACACACAGTATAGTTGATGTATAACACACAGTGAATTATATATCAAGTTTGTGTTTTGCATTTTTTAACGGTCAACAAGAATGCGGTGAATGCATAATTTAGAGGCCATTAGCGACAAAGTGACACGCGCCATTTTTAGCTCATTTTGTAAATGCTATACGGCAAACCAATGAGGCACAGAGCTAGCAAAATATATATATTTTTAATTCCAAATTTAATGAACTCAATTAACATTCTGCCTTAATTAAGCATAGCCATGGCGAAGGCAGGAAAAATCAATGCCTACGTGCGCGCGTACGTTTGTGTGTTGAGTATGATGCAGATGAATGAGTACGCCGTAAGAAATGGCTCATGCATAATTTCATTCATATTCATAACAGGCATGTGGCCTGCTGCCACCCGGTGAGGGCCCACCACAACTCACATTCTGCATAATGACCCGTGTGGCAAGGGCGTGTGTTTTAGATTTTTACATTCTGCCGGTGATTGTACACTTTTGTGGGAATTCAAAATGAGCGTGTGTGTGTGTGTGTGTGTGTGTGTGTGTGTGTGTGTGTGTGTTTGTGTGTGTGTGTGTCTACGTACATGCACGTGTGCGTTGGTGTGGTGGAGTTCTCGAAAACGTTTTATTCCACATTGTGCTAATTTAGGAAAAGGAAACAGTTTGAATACCACGTGGTCAATTCTTTAACCAAAGATCTGCGAATAAAAGGGTATTACGAAGTAATCAGTGACTTGCATGTCTGCATGACAAAATAGCACCTTTGACTTTAAATTATTTTAATATACCGTACCAATGTAAGTTTGTAATAAGGAGTGATAGGTTTAGGAAAGGTTGAATGAATCTCTTAAAGGCATGTAAACACACACAAGGCACATAAAATGCACGCCGTGCTTGCTAAAAACTATTCATTTGCCACTCTCGGTGGAAGTTTACCGGAAAATCGACGCATGGGACAAATGAGAACGAAACAGTGTATATTTAAACACAAACATTTCCAACCACACCACATCATTTAAACGTGTCTGCTAGCTTGCTAAGATTTAACGCAAAATGTTAGCATTGATATAAAACAAACAAACAAACAAACAAACATTCAAACACATACAGGAGCAGTACACCTTCAACAACAATACTTAGAGGCATATTCTGTAGGAACAACAAATAATAAAATGCTAGCACGTGGTACTTATTTACTGTACCTGGCTAGCCTCTTTTCAAACGCCTGTGCTTTCGATATTACACAGGTGGTTGTGGTAATGGACTTATTCTAGCACACCAAGACTCTAAAATTCAACGTCATTGGTAAAGCGAAAACACTCGCATGATTAATTTGCTCATCGCTCATTTTGCTGTCGGTCCGAAAGACCCTTGTTGGCAGCGACCTCAGCTGCCGCCATGCTTCACGGCTTCACCAAGTAACAGAGAGTGTCCACGTGGTTGGGGCCATCGTTCTTTCATGGACCATTAGATAGATGAACATGAACCCTGGCGCTGGCCTGTCCTGTCCTGACCTGACCTGGCGACACTGGCTGGTTAGGGCGAGATGCCAAGTCTCCGCAATAAATTCATCACCTCACAAAGTGGTCAGCGACTGGCTAATGAGATGTAACCGCTCTTCTGTGCCAGTGATGTTTTTTTTCCTTCGGGTGTGTTTCTGAAGCTTTCCTGAAGTTCGGGTTTTCTTGTGTTTTGTTTCCGCTCATGACGTGACTCACTGGTCAACAAAACTGTGTACAGTATTCCAAATATGTTCAAGATGCCTTGAAAACGCGTTGAACCTCTTTTCAGCGTAACCCGTTTACCACTACTTTCCACCCCTCTAACGTTCACATTTCAAAGTCCCGATTTCACGTCATTTGTTTTCCATTTGCCGATTTTGCTTACAACAAACACCTTTATAACGTGAGCTTAATTATAACGACCAGATTTTTCCCACAAAATAGTGAAAAGGCTTTCGTTGCAATGGACCGTGGGAAGCTAACTGCTGCCGCGACCTCGCTTACGAACAAAACGTACAGCTTGGGATCGTCTCGTACATTGTTGTACTTCTGAAGGCATGGTGCACATGGTCTGAAATTGGCTCTCACTTTCGAAAGCAGACGAAGCTCAGCCGACACTACAAATTGGCAAAGTCGACCATTTTGACAATCATCCGAGTGAATCATGGCAGAGTTCGAGTCCAACAGATAATCATCAACGACTTTGGGGTGAGGCACATCCTTAACCGGAGAAGGCACTGAATGTTTTCAGAGATGAAGTAGGAACGCTACAGGTATTTATTGTCATTTTTTCTTCATATACACGTATTTGTAATTGACATGTTTATACTGTATTACATGTTCATGTTTTTACAATCTTTAAATGTTCATACTGTATTATACATCGTAGTTGGCGGCCATTTTGTTGGAAATGGTTACAACGAACCACCGTTAGAACGTACAGATTCGTTATGTTCCTCGAGGTATGTTGAAAGGAGGTTTGACGGTATTAAATAGAACAGTGGAAACTCGTCTTAAAATGAAATCAAGCCCTACTCAATTCGTGCGGGCGGACGTAACTTCGTACCGCACGTCTGCGTATTGTTGCTCTCTCAACACAGACATTTCGTTGCATCAACAATCACCTTTAAGGCACGTACAGTATGCACAGCCGACTTGTGCGCGACAAAAACAACACAAAGCCGAGTCGACGCGCATGAACAGGTCCTACCTTTTTGACGCAGCTGTCGGGGGACGACTCGTCGTGGTCATTCATCATCTGGGAAGACAAAGAATTACGATGATGAGGACAAAAACTGAAATGACATAGAAAGAGAATATTGATCTCTGTCCTGGACAAGGCCTCGGTCGGCCAAGAGGTTGTGACACGAGCACGAGGCGTTCACAGTACGTCACATTTACCCTTTGGGCAGCAAATATGACCAAAGGGGGGATAGAATAATGGACCGAGAGGTCACCCAAACACACAGAAGCAAACATTAAGCCGCACACGCCCCTCCGGATGAATGAACACCCCGAAGATTTGACGTTAATTCTCCGCTTCAGCGTTGCAGGAAATTTAGCTGAGACTGTGTCTACGTGTGCGCGTATAATTAGGCCTTCAAGCAAGATTTACTCGGGGCCAGATAGGTAGCAGAATGCCCTCAGTGTCTGCCACAGGAAATGAGGGAATGATGAAGCGATGAGGCGACGTGGCTGCAACGAGAGGGGACTTCATGTTAAATGCTAAACCCGCATCTTATTTGATGTCCTCTCACTCTTCCTTCTCCGATGCCCATTGATGGCAAGTGATGAGTAGTTGGAAATGGCTTTTGGGGGGAAATTTGTTACAAGGCATTCTCGAAGAGAGGCACAAGGCAAGGTAGCCTCACTTTCCTTGCTTCCCTCTGCCCTTTTAACAGTTGTTGTGCTGTTTGACGACTTAAAGTAGCGCGGACAGGAAAAGTTTCCGGTCCATTAAAGAAGACGCATGAGGCATTTATCTGTTTCGGAATCTGCTGTTGACACTGTGACGTGACTCTGTGCCATACAGCTGCTTCTTTCTTTTGTGCTTTTCTGCAACCATGTTGTCAATTGCACGCCAAATGATGAATGGGAGTGAATGTACATGCGCTCACTCAAACAAGTAGCCATTAAAGCTACGCTAATTATTTAGCTTGATAAAGAAAAAAAAAGCCTTGGGCTAAAAAAAAAAAAAAAACTGGCTTGTGCGCCTCTAAAATAAACACACTTTTGGACATTGTTCACCTAATATCCGTTTCAACAACAAATAATTCACAGAATGTATTCTGGAGCGTTCTCCATTAGTGTGAAGCAACTCCCCTCCCAGGTACGAATCTCCCTCCTTATGTTGGTCATACTGCATCCGTCACTGGCCTCCAAAGTTGCACGTTATTGTTTCAAGGTTTGAGTTGCAATATTTTCATCTCCATGACTTCTTATGGGTAAAATATTCAAAATCAAAGCTAATTGAAGTTGATCAGCATCCTGGAACAAATTATTTCATTTTAGTGATTTCGCTCTCGATGAAATTGCGCTCCGGCAAACACAATAAAAAACATTTTTTTTCCCCCTTTCTGAGAACGTTAATATTTCCTTAGAAATGTCATTTTTTAATGAATGGAGATGACAATAAATCACCGAGATGGAGAGCAAGACGTTGGGTGTGTGCGTGGGCGGAAGACTTCCTCTTTCTTGTACCAGCTGCAATTGTTTACAAAACCAGCTACTGCGTTGGGTCGCCTATAAATGCGTCCAGTAAAAGTAACAAAGGCACCCCACCCCAAAAAAAAAAAAAAAAAAAAAACGGTCCAAAACGGGGGGGCTGGAGTTTTTCCCACCTG